CCAAAGAAGGTACTATGATTATGTCTGTTTTATACTGAATGAGGAAACAGAATCAGAGCAATGAAGTAATTTGGTCAAGTGGTACAACCAGGATTCTATCCTAGTTCTCTGGCTCTGAAGTTGTGGCTCGTGACCAGTACATCATGTTGCCTCCCCATAGCCAGTCTCTTCCTACAAAGAAGTTACATGATGGGGAAGGTTAAATAATAGGTCATGGTAGAGAGGATAAAGAATACTCAAGAAACAACAAGTGTAAGTTAAATTACTATTTGTTTTGTATACTGTTGTACCTCCAGCACTTAAAACATTTTATTTTATGCCTGATACATAGATAGGGGCTGAATAAATACTTATGGGATGTTTTGGAAAGACATTTTGGTATAGGCTGTGAATTAAACAAGATGAGATGACAGACTCCCATTGGAACCTACTTAATGAATATGGGGTAGTGAGGAAGGGCCTTTCTGAGGAGGTAACATTTAAGCTGAGACCTGAAGGATGAAAAAAAGGTAACCATGAAAAGACAATGGAGAAGCATTCAGCCAGAAGGACCAGCATTGTCAGAGGCTCAGGGTAGGAGAGAGCCTGGCAGATGTGAGAAATGGAATAAGCCAGGTGTGGGAAGCAGGTGTGCACAGGTAGCTGTGGAATGAGATGAAGGCAGGTGGCAGAAGCTGGGTAATGTAGGGCCTTAGAATTCCCTCTGGGAGGATACTGACTTGGAGGGATTCAAAAGGAGAGCATAGGGGCCTTGCCCTCGGGAGTTTTCAATCCTGGTAGGAAGACAAGACAAGCAGGAAAAAAGAAAAAAAATCCAATCACTGTACTTTTTTCCTTCCCTCCCTTCCTCCCTCCCTCCCTCCCTTTCTTCATTCATTCCTTTCTTTCTTTGGTTTTTGGTGACTTAAAAACTATTCCTGTATCCCCTTCTGATTGTTAGAAGACTGACTTAAATCAAAGACTGCCTTTTCACTTGTGCAAAAATTAACATGTTGTTCCATAATACATCACATCAAACTTATATTTAAACTAGAGGCCTGATGCATGAAATTCATGCAAGAGGCTTGGCCCTTTCAGCCGCAGTGGCTTGCCTTGGCGGCTTGCGTCGGCCCTCACAGCCACATCGGCTGCCTCAGCTCTAGCTGCCCCGGCTTCGTTTGGAAGGTCATCTGGTCTAGTTAGCATATTATGCTTTTATTATTATAGATATTTTCCTTTTGATACACATTTAAATGCTTTCAAGTTTATAGAGTAAGGGCCTCTCTTTCCGTCTTTTCTCCAAATGAACTACACCCATTATCTCAAAGCCTCCTCAGGTGCCCTTTGGCCTCTGGCTTGTTTACCGTTGGATGAAGCCTAATTTGCCAACCTCCCTCTTCAAACGAGGTTCCCAGAACTGAGCACTTGGTCCAGACAGAGGATGAGGAACGTGGAGTTCAGGGGAACTATTGCATATTTTTGAACTTCCTGCTTCCAAGTTCATGTGATGGAAATATGAGCTTCAACAGCTCTCACTTTTATTTATGCTGCTCAAAATGGCAGTAGTTTTCTTATTGCCTTTTGTTTGGCTTCTGCCTGGCTTCCTGCGGATAACTTCTTCTCTTTGTTTCCAATGTCCATGGTTATTCCTTTGTGGTCTCTTCATTTGAATTCTCGGGTACCCCTTTTTTGTCCCATTGTGGATGACTTGTCCCCAGCACTGGCCAGCCACTTTAGTTGGTCTGGCAGATTTTCTTTACACCAACAATTTGCATTACCTTAAAAATTAAAAATGAACTCCCGTTTGACCCCATGATCCCACTTCTAGGACTATATCCCAATAAATCAGAAACATCAGTCAGAAAAGATATATGCACCCCTTTGTTCACAGCAGCACAATTTACAATAGCTAAGATTTGGAAGCAGCCTAGGTGCCCATCAGCAGATGAAAGGATTAAAAAACAATGGTACATCTAAACAATGGAATACTATGCTGCTGTGAAAAGAAGGATCTCTTACCATTTGGAGCAGCATGGATGGACCCAGAGAGCATTATGCTAAGTGAAATAAGTCAGTCGGAGAAAGATAAATATCATATGATCTCACTCATTTCTGGGATATAATAATCAGCATAAACTGATGAACGAAAATAGAGCCAGAGTAATAGAAGTATCAAACAGACAGTTCAACCTAAGAAGGAAGGCAGGGGAGTGGGGGTGGGTAAGAGATCAACCAAAGGCCTTGTTTGCATGCATATGAGCATAACCAATGGACACAGACAGTTGGGAGGTGAGGGCATGTACTGGGGGTTAGGAGCAGTCAGGGACAGGTCAATGGGGGAAAAAGAAGACATGTAATAATTTTAACAATAAAAATAATTTAAATTAAACAATACTCTAGATATACTAGTAAGTCTACATGATTAAAGGCATATGGCCTTTCTTACTTGAAAAGACTTTACTTCCCAATGGATAAAAGAAAGCTAAGTGATATATGAGGTTCCATAACTCATTTGTCTTCCTCCCATTTTGCAACTCAGGAGCTAATATTGGAGATTAAATAATGGACTTTGTTGACTTAGTGCACCTGCTGCTGAGTGTGTAAACTCATCCTTTCTCATATAGCCAGACATGACTCTTTAAGCAGCTTCCAAAGTAAAAGTGGCGACATGAATAATTCTGCCTGGCAATAAGGTCAACCTTGTTCTCTTGAGATCTGCACTGTGAGCAAAGAGCAAGGAGCTACATAAACCTTGTTCCTTAAGGAACTCCGGGGATCTGTCCTCCCCCGTTCCTGATGCCTCAGAAATGAAAACATCCAGGAAAGAAAATACAGGACTCAAGTTTTGTTTGTTTTTAAATCTGGGTTTTTTAGAAAGAAGGAGCATAAGAAATAAAAGGTAGTTTCCATGTATTATAAAACTATTCTTGCAAAAGCTAGAAATTATAAAAATGCATATAATACAAACAAAAATGTTAACAGTGATTTTTTAAAAACTAATGATTGGTTAAGTGGGTTTGTTGTTTTGTGTTTTTTGTTTGTTTGTTTGTTTTTTGCTTTTTCATCTAGATTAAATAATTTTTTACAATAAGCACATATTGTAATATAAAATATTTCTTAAACCTTTATTAACTGGAAAGGCACAGATTTTTTTTTTCCTACCTTGTGATAAATTATTTGGATGAAAAGTTAATTTGTGTGGGAAACTGGACAAAATTACTTCTGCTAACATAAGAATATTTAAACCTATAGGTAATTTTGTAAATGTATTCGAGCCAAACTGAAGACATGCTTAGAAGCAAGATCTCAGAAATTCTCCAGAGAAGGGCAGTTTATATTTTTTTATATACTTGGAATCAAGGGAGGGAACAACAAGAACATTGCATGAGAACTGGTAAGTAGAGCCTTAGTCTGTGCACTGGAAGGTCATGGATTCAATTCTCTATCAAGGGCATGTACCTGGGTTGCAGGTTTGATCCCTGGCTCTGGTTAGGGCACGTGCAGAAAGCAACCAATTGATGTGTCTCTCTCACATGGGTATTTATCTCCCTCCCTCTCTCCCTCCCTCCCTCCCTCCCTCCCTCCCTCCCTCCCTCCCTCCCTCCCTCCCTCCCTCTCTTTCACGCTATCTTAAAGCAATGGAAAAATATCCTTATTGAGGATTAACAACAACAAAAACAACAAAGAAAATTACATGAAATTGGTGGTAGATTAAGAAGGCAGACAAAAAGCAAAAATGGAGAGATGCTTTGTTTACATTGATAGACACAGGATACTTTAACATTTGCTGTAAATAGGATGGTATACGGATGAGAAGATCATGTATGTGCTTCCTTGGGGTGGTTACACCTCCAAGGACTCTGGCATTTCAAAGTTGTGTTAACGCAGGTGCAGAAAAAACAATGGACAGTGCTTGCTTAAGGCAAAAAGATAAAGGAAGTTGTAAGCCTGGGACATGACTACCCACTATGACCTGCCCAGTTAGGAATGTATAATCAGATCACCCTGTGAGATTCCTTTCCATCTCTGAGCTTGTCGGAGCCACTATATAGCCTGCTTTTCATTCACACTTCAAAGTTTGTTACAGCCCTAAGGCTTTATGAAGTTACCATCCAATTCAGTCAGCAAAATAGATGGCAAACAATGATACAGAACAAACTATATTTTTAGAACTTACAATTCAAACTAGCTGAAGTGAAAGAGTAACATTCCTTTTTCTCTCTCTAATAAATATTGTTCAGATTATTATAGTTGTTCTTCTTTTTCCCCCCATAGCTCCCCTCCTCCCAGTTCCCACCTTCCCTCTGCCCTTATCCCCCCTTCCACTGTCCTCATCCATAGGTGTACGATTTTTGTCCAGTCTCTTCCCACACCCCACACACCTCTTTCCCCCTGAGAATTGTCAGTTCACTCCCTTTTTATGTCCCTGATCCTATTATATTCACGAGTTTATTCTGTTCATCAGACTTTTAATTCACTTGATTTTTAGATTCATTTGTTGATAGATATGTATTTGTTGTCACTTTGTTGTTCATAATTTTTATCTTTACCTTTTTCTTCTTCTTCTTAAAGAATACCTTTCATCATTTCATATTATTCCAGTTTGGTGGTAATGAACTGCTTTAGCTTTTTCTTGTCTGTGAAGCTCTTTATCTCACCTTCAATTCTGAATAATAGAGCAATCTTGGTTGTAGGTTCTTACTCTTCATCACTTGGAATATTTCTTGCCACTCCCTTCTGGACTGCATAGTTTCTATTGAGAAATTAGCTGACAGTTGTATAGGCATTCCCTTGTGGGTAACTAACTGTTTTTCTCTTGCTGCTTTTAAGATTCTCTCTTTGTCTTTAGACCTTGGCATTTTAATTATAATGTGTCTTGGTGTGGTCCTTTTTGGATTCCTTTTGTTTGGGGTTCTTTGTGCTTTCTGGACTTGTAAGTTTATTTCTTTCACTAGGTAAGGGAAGTTTTCTGTCATAATTTCTTCAAATGGGTTTTCAGTATCTTGCTCTCTCTCTTCTTCTGGCACCCTATAATTCATATGTTAGTATGCTTGAATTTGTCCCAGAGCCTCCTTACATTATCTTCATATTTTTGGATTCTTTTTTCTTTTTTCTTTTCTGGTTGAGTATTTTTTGCTTCTTCGTATTTCAAATCTTTGACTTGATTCTTTAGTCTATTATTGGATCTCTGTATATTATTCTTTATTTCAGTCAGTGTATGCTTAGTTTCTAGTTGGTCCTTTTTCATATCTTTGAGAGCCTCACTAAATTTATCAGCAGTTCCTAGAAGATTCTTGAATAACCTTATAACCGTGGTTTTGAACTTTATATCCAGTAATTTGCTTTCCTACATTTCTGTCATTTGTGACCTGTTTCTTTGTCTCCTCATTTTGGCTGCTCCCCTGTGTTGATAGTATGGCTCTGTGTGCTAAGTGTCCTATAGGGCCCAGTGGCTTAGTCTCCCTAATTACCTGAGGTGAACACTTTTGGTGAACTCCTTTGTGGGCTGTGTGCATAGTCTTGTTGTAGTTAAGCCTTGCTTGTTGTTGGTATCGCTGGGAGGAATTGACCTTCAGGCCAATTGGCTGTGAGGATCAGTTGTGTCTATGATGGGAGAACTTCTGTGCTAGAGACACCCTTATGGGGCAAGACCTATTTCAGTGGGGCTTTGGTGCTCACTGAGTCTGCCCCCTGAGTGTGTCTCTTATGGATCTGAAGAGTTGTAATGTGGATGGTCTCACCCTGACCACTGGCTACACTGGCTCTTGGATATCCAAGGAGAGAGGCCACCCAGCAGGAGCTACAGAGAGACCTGAAGATTCTTTCTCTTAGTTTGGGGTTTGGAGATGCCCAGATGAGGGCCAGCTGTGAAGCAATGCATTATAATGTTGAGTCTTGGGTCTTCTTTTGGAGGCACTGGGGCTCTTTGACCCAGCTGCAGTACATTAGGTTTCAAATTGCAAAGAGCCAGGCCATTCATATGCAAAAGCCTCTGGGCACAGCTTGGGTGGGGTTGTAAATTGGGTGGGGCATGGTCTTAGGAAATCACCAGGGTGGAGCAAACAGCAATGGCTGATCATTAGCCCTGCCTGAAACAGGTCCGGTGTCTCTGTGTCCAGTGACACTATCCAGGAACAATGATTGCTACAAGCACCTCTGAGAGAAATTTGCTCTTGAGTTCCACCTGATGCCAGACAGTCCAGTTTCTCCCTCTATGAGTCTGGGTCCCCAGAGTCTTGCCAAGAACTGGAGTTCAGAGCAGTCAGGAGTGTGTATCGCCTTCCCAATTGAAAAAGACAACACTGTAGCCAGTTGCCAGCCCTTTCCGCTCGCACGCCTCTGTACTTTTGCACTTCACTTCTGCACCTCTGTACCTCCTCGGAATCTCAGTGTGCTTTTCTTTTCCTTCTAGTTGTATAATCTCTACTCAGTCAACCTTCCCATGGTTCTGGATAATACTCATTTTTTCTTTCAGTTGTAGTTTTGAAGTGGTTGTGTGAGGCAGCAAGTTCAGGTTTTTAACCTATGCTGCCATCTTGGTTTCTCCTGTAACATTTTTTATGAGGATATGGAGGCCTTATAGTCAGCTGGTTGCACCTATGGAGTGATGCTGGTTATTTACATTAAAAAGTACTTTGGTTCCTGTTACTCGGAGACCTCCAAATGTCTCCTCACTGCCACAACCATCCCGCTTACCCCCTGGGGATTTCTCATGACTCTATGCTTCATAACAAAGGGGTAATGTCTGGAATGGCAGCAGACATCAAGGACTGTGTGCTAGCTGTCTGCCGCTGTCCTGATTTCCCCCCTGTATCATTGTTAAGTATTTTGAGAGTCACCCCTACCTAAGAAACATGAGTGTCTCATGGAGCCTAAGGGCAAAGAGTTAGCTAGGCCTCAGGAAGGTAGACCCAGGGCCTTGGGAACTGTCAGGCTTCTTCCACTATTTCTCATCTATGAATCTGCTCCCTCCTCTCTACCTGCCTTCCTGCCTTCAAGTTCATGTGATGGAAACATGAACTTCAACAGCTCTTAGAAGTTTCACTTCATGGGTCTGGTGATTTGGAGAGAAACTGATCTTTCTCCCCCACCCCTTCATTTCTTTCCAATTTCAAATGTCCAGGGAAGGACATTTGACCAGTCTTCAGTCATGTGTCTCTCCTGTGCCAAACATTTATAGCTCTATGAGGGGAAGGGATGATATTGCCCAACGATGGCATTTTCGATTAAAACCACATGATGGAGGAGTGGGTACTTGCAGATAAAATGGGGGAATTTTTCAGAAATCAAGGAGTGGAGCATAAATCAAGGTCCTTGGCACATAAGTATTTTTCACCCTCCCCTTAATTGGAGATTCTTTATTTGACAATTTCATCCTATATAATAAAAGGCTAATATGCAAATCAACCAAACAGCAGAATGACTGGTTGCTATTATGTGCACTGACCACCAGGAGGCAGACGCTCAATGCAGGAGCTGCCCCCTGCTGGTCAGTGTGCTCCCACAGGGGGAGCGCTGCTCAGCTATAAGCCCTGAGCCAGGCTCATGGCTGGCAAGTGCAGTGGCGGTGGCAGGAGCCTCTCCTGCCCCCATGGCAGTGCTAGAGATGTATGACTGATGGCTTAGGAGAGCGAGCCTAAGACACCAGTAGGACATCCCCTGAGGGCTCCCAGACTGCAAGAGGGCACAGACTGGGCTGAGGGACCACTCCAAGTGCATGAATTTCATTCACTGGGCCTCTAGTATCTCCGTAAAAGAGCCTCTAAATAGTTTATACCTAAGTTTATAATTTTATATATGTAAAAGTATCTAACTCAAAAGTTTTAAACTCTCATATTATGAACATTTTTAATGAACTTCCTTGCCAGTTTCTATGTCCAAGGCAAATTAGAAGTAGGAATTAAGAAGGGACAGTAAGAAAGTAGGAAGGCTTACCAGGATGAAATCTGAATGTGTGTGAGTGTGTGTGTGCATGTGTACACACATGTGCAAGCATGTATATATACACATATATACAGATCTGGGGACATTTTTCCATTATAATTATTATAAATTTAAATATCCTAAGAAGTCCTTACTGTAAGAAAATTAATATATAATTATTGATATTAATTTTAATTACTAAAGACCTCAATTTTCTAAAAAGCTAACTTATGTTCAATATATTAGGAAGGCAGAGAAAATGTTAATGCATTGATAAAAGAGAATAATCCTAAATGTAGGGGTGGGAATCTTTGGTATCTAAAGATATGGACTTAAGCTACTAGAAAACTATTATTCAGCAATACTAGAGGAGTCCAGAGCGCTGGGTATTTGATATTGTTAAATAGTTAAAAAAAAAAAAAAAAAAAAAAAAAAAGTCCAATTTTTCACTTGAATTTATGGGAATGTGTTATCTTGAACAGGTCTTTACCAATTCCTCCTTCATAAAATAGGACTGATATTTACTATCCAATTGTTAAGATAAAGAAGCTTACTATAGGTGAACATTTTTAAAGATTTTTTGAGAAGTCAAGAACTTATTAAGTAGAAGTTATATTTTGTGTTTTTTTGTAAGAACCATAGTATTGTACAAATACTTTTACATAGTAAAGTACAAATTTACTTTAATGAAAAAAAGATGAAGGTAAATGGATTTTGCTTTAGGTCTTTATGAGTTCATTTTAAAGCATCATTAACTTAGATAAGACTTTTATTGGTCACTTGTCATATAATAGTTCCTATAAATTATTTTAAATTTTAGTAGTTTGCAACTAAAGACGGTATATTTTTATGATGTTGGATCAATGGCTTTATTTCAAACTATAGTTGTTCAAGCTATGTTTTTCTCCTACTTCTATTATGATAATAAAATACTAATGCTTCACAAATTTCAAATTATAGAGAAAATTGTTATTCATAATTCAATTTTCTAACAACTATGATTATTTCCCATATAGATATATATTTTTGTGAAATTTCACTGGTATTTATGTTCAATGTTATAGCCCCCTTTCCATGTTGCTACTTGTTATTCTTATTGTTCATAATTATCATCTAATTACATTGAGTGAATGCACTAAAATAATGGACTGGCCATTTCACTATTTTTAGATATTTGCCTCTCTCTCTCTCTCTCTCTCTCTCTCTCTCTCTCTCTCTCTCTCTCTCTCTTTCTCTTTTTCTCTCTCCCCCTCTCTCTCTCTGTGTATGTGTATGTGTGTAATAAAAAGTACACACTTTACCCTCTTCCCAAATTGTGTAGTTCTGGATTGTGAATGAAATTCCAAGTGCCATGGCTATAGGCTGCCTCTGAGGAAGTAGTCACAGGCAATTCTTTCTTCATAAAGTTGTCACACTCTATCCCATGTGACTTTGCCATCCCTATAGATAGATACTAATGGGCTGGACCATCTGTGCCTGGACCAAAAGGCAGATATATTTAGGTTAGATATCAGAAAGGCTCACGAAGTGGCTCTGCAAGAGACTCTGCCTAATAGCCAGGTACCATATTGGATGGGATCAAACTGATCCAATTATCATCTCTCTTTTGGTAAATATAAATGTGAGATTATACAGAGAAGTCAGAATATTCTGTATGTTCTTCTGGAGATAGAAAAATATTACTAGAACATAAAAGGCATTTTCTTACTGAAGCTACTAGTACTACATTCTTAATAATGATCAACTGTGCTTCTCATTTAGCATGAGTTGTGGTGTACTTGCCAGTGTCAGTGGGCTGGACTCAGGGTCACAGTCCAGCTTCTGAGACTGTCGTACATGCTCATCTCACTTTTTCACGGAAGTAAGCTCCTATTATGTAATATAATTTTTTTCCTTCTAGATGGCTTTCTTGTGATGAATTAAAGAATCTAAATATTTTTATGGCTCTAGAAATATATTGTTAAATTACTTGCTACTATAATTTCTGAGAATTTTCCCCTGGAATTTTTTCTCTTTTTATTCTTTATTCTTTCTCTGAATTATCTTACCTGTCTAATGACTATGAAGACTGTCAAGTTCAAGACACCATTCAATTATAAGATTCACCATTATTTTATGAATTGCAGAGGTAAAACATAGTATTAATTAGGTTCTCACAATGCTTTCTTATACTTCATAATTTTTATTTCATAACTTTTAAAAAAGCTCTTTTAGATTTTTGTGCATGTATAAAAAGGAAATACAAGCACAATATATTTAATGTGTTACTTAGGATTTTTCAGAAACAACTCTTCAGGGCTACTTTTTTACTCAAATTTCATTTATACTTTCATTTTACAGCATTGAGCTGTCTCTTGTTCCATCAAGAGTATGGGTAATTCAGCATTACTTACAAGAATTTTTTTTACTAAGTTCTCTAAGGTTTTCTTTGAAGTCACTGACGTTCATTCTGAAAATTCTTTTGTCCCTTTCCTGATCTTACCAAATGTATTAACAGAAAATCTTCAGACAACAAACAGGACTCACATACCTTTCTCAAATAGTCCTTGTGTTTTGTTGACCTAACTGTCCAGGGATCATGTTTGTGTAGTGCGGCCACCTGACCTAGACATACACAGGCAATATATCTGTTGTCTACCAATGACAATTACAAGATATTATCAGCTGTAAGACACATCCTGGTTTTAGAGATGTTAGAATACAATTCTATTAGCATGTACTAATGACTCTTAAATCTATTTTCCATCCCAGACCTCTATATATAATATGTCTGCCTCAAGTCTCCACTCAGGTGACTTCTATGAACCTCAAATTCTAATGCGTCTATTCAGGGGTGTCGAACTCAATCAGAGAAGGGGCCAAAATCTAAAATCCAGCCTAAATCGCGGGCCGAATGGTTTACTGAACAGTCATAAACTGACAATGTTAACCAGAAATGTGAATTTAAAATGAGTGGAACAATCTTTTCCTTAACAGTGCTGTTAACCAACTCACATGCTATCAAGCAAAACAGTAATATTGGTATCAAGCAAAACAGTAATATTGGAATGTACCTAAAATGCTCATTGTTTTGTTTTCTGGCTAGATGTCTGACACCGTTTTCCCCGGATCAATGAGTCAATGTTCGGTTTTATTTCTTGGGCTGTAGCAACCCGCAAAACAGCATGGAGGTTGTCATCGGTAATGCGTGATCTGTGCTTGTTTTTGTTCAGATTCATTATTGAAAACATCTGTTCACAAAGATAGGTGCTCCTGAACATGGATAGAATATGGGCAGCATGAAGTCGGAGCTCTGGCATTGAGTCAGGGGGCAGTAGAGGGTAGAAGTCCTCAATTTCAACATCCTGAAACCTTGATTTCAGGCCACTGTCAGACTGAAGCTTGATTATCTCCATCTGAAGGTGATGGGGCACATTGTTGACATCAACTGTAAAAGGATTGGCAAAGATGTCAAAGCCTGAGTGCTGTGTTCTAAAGTCAGAGAAGCGCCGCTCAAATTCACTTAGTAAACGGCTAACTTTGTAGCCAGCCGACTGCAAGGAAAAGTACCAGAAATAGTGGTTGAGATACTCAAACAAATGGGAAAGTGGGCAAGATTGTCCTGTTCCAGTTGGGACTTCCATAGTTGAAGTTTACGCTGGAATGCTGTGATCATGTCAGACATCTTCGTGATGACTTGTTTGCGTCCCTGCAGCTTCAGATTCAGTTGGGCGAGATGCTCGCATATGTCACACATCATAGCAAAATCACATAGCCAGGCGGGATCCGACAGTTCAGGCAAGGGCTTTCCTTTACTTTCCATGAAAAGAGCAATTTGTTCTCTGAGCTCAAAAAATCTTTTGAGGACTGCGCTCTTGCTCAGCCATCTTACTTCTGTGTGGTATGGCACGTCTCCATGCTCTGCACCCACCTCCTGTAAAAACTGCTGGAACTGGCGATGATTCAGGCCACGTGCCCGTATAAAGTTAATAGTTTTAATGACTGTGGTCATTATGTCATTCATGTCCAGAACTTTTCCACACATAGCCTCTTGGTGGATAATGCAATGATAAGTAATCAAGGGTGTGTGGCAGTGACTTTTTTGCATTCTTTCCTTCATTAGTCCAACCAAGCCTTTCTTTTCTCCGCACATTGAGGGTGCGCCATCGGTAGTTAGCCCCACCAACTTTTCCCAGGGTAATTTAAAATTTATAGATTTCTCCACAGCCTCAAATATATCTCTACCAGTCGTAGTCCCATGCATGGCAGCTACATCCAAAAGTTCCTCAGTGACAGAGAGGTCGGTCTTCGTAGCACGTATAAAGATGGACAGCTGCGCTGTATCAGTGTTGTCTGTGCTTTCATCGATAGCAAGTGAAAAAGCGAGATAACTGCATGCCTGTTCGGCCAGCTGTGATGATAGATTTCCTGAGAGTTCTTGAACTCTATCTGCAATGGTGTTTCTTGACAAACTGACATTTTGAAAACTCTGTATCTGGTCTGGGCATACTTGCTCACACACTTTTAGCATGCATTGCTTCAAAAAGGCACCCTCTGAAAAACACCTTGAAGTACGGGCAATTTCTTCAGCCACTATAAAGCTTGCTTTCACTGCAGCATCATTTTTCGCTGTAGCCTTTGTAAACATTTGCTGCTGTGATTGTAGTTTGCCTTTTAGTTCTTTAACAATTTTATGCTTTTCTTCCAAAGTATATTTGCCATACTTAACATTATGTTTGGTGTCAAAATGATGACGTATATTGTACTCTTTCATCACTGACACTGTCTCATAACAATTTACACACTGGTTTGCCCTCTCTAAGCACAAACATGTATTCATTTTCCCATTTGTCATTAAATTGTCTGCCTTCACTGTCAACTTTTCTTTTCCTGGACATTTTGGGATCAATATTGGCAGTAAAAGATGTAGTTTATTGGAAATCTGCGTTAGAAGGAAAAAGTTGAAAACTGCACAGGGATAGCTTGATTTGGCAGATGGAGTGGAGAAAAAAAAAGTCAGTCAATAAATGCCTGGCTGGGTACAGATAGCAGATTCTGTTGCGATTTTTATGCCTGCACTTTATGCCAGGAACTGGCAGCTTCTGCTGTGTATTTTTTATGCCCGCACACTCACTCTCTCCTCTGCTCTGCCACCCACACAACCACATCGGATGCCGGACTATAGGTCACGCCTCCTGAATCTCGCGTGACTTGTTATCTATGCGCATGCGTAATAGATAGCAAGTATGGCAGCCTGCGAGGCGGACGGCGAGATCACAAACCTCCTATGTCACCGCGCGTCATTGTGATGGAACGCAGCGGAGTGCAGTGATGACAGCGCGGTGCGGGCCACATTGCAAGGCCTGGCGGGCCGGATTTGGCCCGCGGGCCTTGTGTTTGACATGTGTGGTCTATATGGTTTTCCATTGCTGCAGTAAAAAGTTTCCACAAACTTAGTGACTTAAAGCAACAGAAATATATTATTTTTCTACTTGTGCTGTCACTACTCTGGGCCAGATCCTCATCATCATCTCTTATCTGTTTCACTGCTAAAGCCTTTCAACCCATCTCTCTGCCACCAAAAGTGATGTATCTCAGCACATACCAGAGAGAAATTTATGAGAAGTTTTACATCCTTTTCAGTAGTAAAATGCCAAAGGCTTACATTTGGATAGCACTTTGCGAAACACTTTCACATTCTTACCACAGTTAATCAGCTCCACAGCCTTGTGAGTCAGGTACTATTCTTGTTACTGAAGTTAAATGACTTAGACTCAGGTTTTGAAATGAAGTTTCATTACTTCCTCAAATCTGCCTCCTATGGTGTTACCTTCTTACACTGCTCACTGCCATTTCAAATTCCACATGTTCAAAGACAGTTCCTCTTTCAACTTCCCTGGCTGTGTCATTGGTTTCCCCCACTTCCCCCTCCATTCCCCGTTCCTCCACCCTCCCCTCCCAGCCCTCACACATACATTCACCAACCTTCAAATTTAACGTTGACTTACTCGGATCATCCACCCTTATCTCACAGTTAGCCAGACACTAAGACTGGTTGAATTTTCTTTTGAAATAGTCCTTGTTTCTGTTCCCACAGCTCCCACTGTAGCCAGACTTCCCTATTTTGCCTTACTGCTAAGCCAGTTCAGCTGCCTTGTTTCTGGTCTTACTTCATCTTATATATAACAGCTAGAAATAGAATGAAAACACCATTTTATAATACCACTCCCTAGGTCAAAATCCTTCAGTGGCTTCTTATTTTCTAATACATTAACTATAAGCCTTTCACCCTGCAGCTTCAAAGGCCCACCATAATTGGACCTCTTCTTATCACGTTTACATAATTCCCTTAGTTTTCAACCCCTGGCTGTAGACAGGTTGGCTACCTCATTGGCCACACTACTTATTATCTCTGTGCATGTGTTCCTGTTGTCACCTCACTGGGAAAGCATGCCCTTCTCCCTTTGCCTTTCCACACGTGTTCTCCTTTAACACCAGACCCAACTAACCTGGTCTCTGAAGCCTTCAGGCATTAACCAATCCCAAGGATCATAACCCCTGAACCCCAACTTACAGAGCACTAGGATCTAGTAACCAAATGCCTGATGCTGCGCGTGTTGTTTCATGCCCTTCGTTTTTTCTCCAACCAAACTGCAAGCAACTCGAAAGCAATGCCTATGTTTTGTTTTCTTCTGACCACAAGTAAACAATAATTCCTCTTTACTGATTGCTTTTTTGACTGATCTCTGGTTTAGGAATTATTTGTTAGTTTAATTACTTTTAGTTATTTAAAGTCATTATGATCTTGAAAGCTGCTTGACAATTCAAGGATTTGTGTAGGTTGATGGATAACTGATGATAGCTGAAAACCCCTGTTGAACCATCCTGGTTTTGAAGGGAGACAGAATATAAATAACTAATATAAACTAAACATGACCAGCATGATATTGGTCCGCAGACTATTGGGTGAGGGCTTCTGTGTGTGTGTCAAGTGCTTCACGAGACCATAAAATTGAAGGATAAGAAAGAGATTGGAAGAGGGCCTGACCCACCTTCTCAATCGCAGGGAACTGAGCAGATTGTAGGAAGGGTGGTGAGCAGAACATAGTCTAATGATCAGATCAAGGTAATAATAGATATAAAATGAAGGAATGTTAGGAGATGGAAACCAAGATGGTGGCATAGGTAAATGCTTAACTGCAGCCTCACACAACAATTAAAAAAAAATACAACTAAAATACAAAATGGACATTATCCAGAACTACAGGAAAATTGACTGACTGGAAATTCTACAACTAGAAGGAGAGAGGAAACCAGAAGGGAAATCAGAGGAGCTGTAAAAGCCTAAGGTACGGAGACACGGTGCACACGGGGAGAAAAAGGAGCTGGAGAGGAGGGGTGGCTGAATGCCTGGCTGACATTCCCTAGCGGGAAGGAGACAAAAGCTCTAGACTGTGCTGAACCCCGGCTCCGATAGCACTGAACCCCAGTTCTGGGTGAGACCCTGGGGAACCAGGCTCGTACGGAGGGAGCTGGGCTGTAAGGTGGAAACGCAGGGGAGCGGTGAAAGGCAGTCCTGGAGGCACACACATTACACGCAGAGAACGGAGTGTTGACTGCGCCGCTGGATTGCCCTAGCAGGAAGGAGACAGTGACTCTAGACTGCTCTGAACCCCACTTCCAACTGCACTGAACCCCAGTTCTGGGCTCATTGGGAGAAAGCCTAGATTGTTTGGTAGCTGGTGAAACTCAAGGGCACCTTTCTCTTGCAGTGAGAACTAAAGGACACTGAGGAACACTGAGACTCAGGAACCTCATAGGGCAGGGCTGACGAGAAGCCAAGGCTGTAGGCTCCACCCTGAAACTCTGCCCCATCCAAGCTGAGCACAGAAGCTTTTACAATTTTCCAAGTCTAGTCAAATAAGGCTGTCTCCTGGCATAGACACAGCTGATCCTCACAGCCAATTAGCCTGGAGGTCAGTTCCTCCCAGTGATATCAACAACAATCAAATCTTAACTATAACAAGGCTGTACACACAGTCCACAAAAGGGGGCACCAAGAGTGTCCACCTCAGGTAACTGGGAGGCTGACCCACTGAACCATATAGGACAACTTAGCACCCAAATCCACCCTACCAACTCAGGGAAGCAGCGAAAATGCTGAGGCAAGGAAACAGATCACAAACAAAAGAAATGGAGGACAAAAAGTGACTGGATATAGAGTTCAAAACCATGCTTATAAGGTTTTTCAAGAATTTTCTAGAAAAGGCCAATAAAATAAATGAGACCTATGAAGATATGAAAAGGGATCAACTAGAAATAAAAAATACATTGTCTGAAATAAAAAATATTACACAGAGACCTAAAAACAGAATGGAAGATCTCAAGAATCAAGTCAAAGATTCTGGAACATAAAGAGCCAGAAGACACTCCTGCATAGAAGCAAGAAGACAAGAGAATCTAGAAAGTTGAAGATAATGTAAGAAACCTCTGGGACAACTTCAAGCGAACCAACCTCAGAATTATAGGGGTCCCAAAAGAAGAGAGAGAGCAAGATACCGAAAACATACTGGAAGAAATAGTGACAGAAAACTTCTCCCACCTGGTGAAAGAATTAGACCTACAAGTCCAGGAAGCGCACAGAACCCCAAACAAAAGGAATCCAAAGAGGACCACACCAAGACACATCATAATTAAAATTCCAAGAGCAAAAGACAAAGAGAGAATATTAAAAGCAGCAAGAGAAAAGCAGGTAGTTACCTATAAAGGAGCACCCATATGATTGTCAGCTGATTTCTCAACAGAAACCATGCAGGCCAGACGGGAATGGCAAGAAATATTCAAGGTGATGAATAGCAAGAACCTACAACCAAAAATACTCTACCCAGCAAAGCTATCACTCAGAATCCAAGGCCAGATAAAGAGCTTCCCTAATAAAAAAAAATAAAAATAAAAAAATAAAAAATAAAAATAAAAAAAGCTCAAGGAGTTCACTACCACCAAACCAGAATTATATGAATTGCTGAAGGAGGTTCTTTAGGAAGAGGAAGAAGATAAAGATAAAAATTATGAACAACAAATACGTAACTATCAACAAGTGAATCTAAAAACCAAGGGAATTAAAAAAAATCTGATGAACAATATTAACTGGTGGATATAATAGAATCAGAAGTATGGAAGCGGGGTGAACTAACAATTCTCAGGGAAAAGGAGAGTGGGGGGTACGGAAAGAGACTGAACATAAACTGTGCACCTATGGATGAGAACAATGGGGGGTGGGAAAAGGGCAGAGGGTAGGGTGGGAACCTGGTAGAGGGGAGCAATGGAGGGAGGAAAAATGAGGAACATTTGTAATAATATGAACAATAAAGATTTATTTTAAAAAATAAAAATAAAATAAAAATAAAACAAAGGAATGTGTGAATAGTGGGAAAGTAAACTTTTTTTTTTTATCACAAAATCTTTTGATCAAGCTAGGCTGTTGCTCAGAAGTGCTGTGTCTCAACACATACCAGAGGCTCACAACACTGTTACAAACTACAGCACTACCAAAACTGGCACAAAAGTAGGCAAATCTGTTACAGAGATCCTAAATGCAATAGCACAACACTGAGAAGCTTTTCCTTGTAAAAGTCTCTCTATAGACATACATTCAAACACATTAGCAATTTTACTAGTTTTCAAACTCAGTTTCACAATCCGAATAAAATAAGATTTTTTCCCCCAGATCTTTACAATGAGAAGACATCTTTCTTTTTCATACAGTAATTCTCAGGGCACTGCTCTCACCCCTCCTCTGCAACACACACACATACACACACACACACACACACACACACACACACACACAGTGATGTGTCAAAGTCATTAGCTGTTTGTATCCTAAATGTGGAACAAGGAATTCCCCAGAGATTTTTTAAATTCTGGGACAATTACTGCATAGAGTTTCAAGAGTCAGAAGGAGGAAGCAATCTGCCAAGCACCTATTAGGGATGGAATTGCTTCTGCTTCAAAGTATATGCTGGATTAACTTCTAAAGTAGTTAATTACTTTTCAGATCATGCTGGGGTGTTACACAGCCTAAAGAGAAAACCGCAGCCATCCAGACCTAAGTTGGAAGGAGATAAGGAAGGTCACGATTTCTGTTATTTTTTAGACTGTGTCTAATGGGACTGGCTTAAAGGCAAAAGAATCTAAAAGCATTTTCTGTTTTAGTCAAAATAATATTAAATAATACGTTTTCTCTCTCTTTACATAGTTTAAGTGAATCAAGTGATAGTTGTTTGATCATTATAAAGATATAACCTAAATTGAAGCTGTTTGTCAAAAAGTCAATAGCTAAATGTTTTCATTGAATACCTTCACAGCCATTACCACTTTGACAATGGACTAAATTTTCCTGGTGGAAAATGGTAAGATATAGAGCCTTCAAATTTATTTGATTTAGAAGTACCTAATGGAAAGTCCTGGCCAGGAGCTCAGTTGGTTAGAGTGTCATTCCAATACCCCCAGGTTGTTGGTTTTTGCTCTCAGAAAAGGGCATATACAAGAAGCTACCAAAGAATGTGTAAATATTAATAGGTGAAACAAGAAATCGATGCACTCTCTTCTGTCTGTCTGTCTGTCTGTCTATCTGTCTGTCTCTCCTGAATCAATCAATCAGTAAAAGTTGGGGACGAGGGGGAAGAAGTACCTAATGGGAAATGAAGGAAACATTGGTCTAAATGAAACAGATTGTGGCCAGGGGTGGGACATGGGATGGAGCATTGCTATTTCACCCCTTTTAGTAATCTAGAAAAATATGTACTGATTCTCAGAGTTGTCAATGTCTGACAAATCTATGAGAAAAAAAACCCATTTGGTTTATTGACACAACTGATGGTTTCAGTCTTGAGATACCTTATCAAATGTTAAAGTTGAAGGAGTCAGTCACCCTGTCCTACGCCCTCACTTTTATAAATCAGGAAATTGCATCAGACTTGCACAGTGTCAAGGTTAGCATCCAAGCTTCCTGTTCCTATGTTCATCCTCCATCTCATGCTGTCCCTCTATTGACCATACGGCTAGGCTCAACAGATATTTATAATCTTGTTTATATCACCTGTATGGATGAAATAATACTGCATGGAATTGATCCATTAGAAAACTAGCACTTTTATTAATCTGTAAAATTCTAATTACAACTTCCTTCAGAGGCTAACATAATGGTCAAAAACTATATGACCAAGATGTCTGTTGATTTTTTTAATAGCAGTAAATTTAGTACCTGCTTTTAGGAATAGATGCAAATCTAATATGGATAGAAAGAATTGAACCAGATTTCATAGTTTATATAGGCTCAAAACATAGCAGAGGTGATAATATGATCTATAATAGTCTCCCAGGATTTCACATTTCCTATCTTACTTACATCCCTAATTAAAAAGGTAGAATCACTAGTGTTGTCTCCAGGTTCAAAAATATTTCAGGTTCTTTTCAGGATCCACAGAGAAGGCAGACCACAAGGCTCTTCTCTCCTGCCTTTCCTTTCACTAAGGAAATGGCCTGACCTTACCACTAACTTCTTCCCTTCTTGCCAAGCCATGTAGGTTGACTTTTCCTCTTTGTGCCAAAACAAAACAAAAATAAATAAGTAAAATTAAAAAAAAAATAGTAATAATAACAGTAATACCAACCCTCTGTCACATTAATAAGAGATTTATTACTTTAAACCAGTGTTTTTAAACCTCGGATGCACAATAAAATGATCTATTTTTAATACCCCAACTCCAGACCAATCCAGTCAGAATCTCAGACATTACTATATTTTAAAGCTCTCCAGGGTTTCCAGTGTGCATTCAAGTTTACCAACCATTGACTTGAACCAAAAAAAAAAATGATGCAGGAGCATCAGATCTGGTGAAAGCAAGGCCCCAGCTGTATTTCAAAGATCATCAGAGCCACACCCCACCATTGTCTTTTCTGTTTCTGCTGTATAGCATTGTAAATTTAGCATCCTTCTCCATACTGTAGCCAAGAAAGGGAATCAGAAACAGTCCCAGGTTGAGGTAACTGGTGGATAGATCCCAGTGTTCTGGAACCAGCTACTATTATCTTGAAAAGTCATTTGTGAACATTTCTTCCTGGCCCTATGTTCAGTGACTTCATATTGCTAGCTTGAAACAGGACATAATGGGAGTATTTACACCATAGAAATCCGGGCTTGTGTTTCCCTAGACTGCACATGTGTCAAACACAAGGCCCGCCAAATCCGTCCCACCAGGCCTTGCAATGTGGCCCGCACCGCGCTGTCATCACTGCACTCCGCTGCGTTTCCATCACAATGACAGTTTATGACTGTTCAGTAAACCATTTGGCCCGCGATTTAGGCTGGATTTTAGATTTTGGCCCCTTCTCTGATTGAGTTCGACACCCCTACCCTAGAGAGTCAGTGGTTAAGTGTTTATCAGCCCCAGACTGAATAGATCTCTAGTTTCTGACCCTGATCAAATTTGAGGGAGGGAAACTGAAAATTATCCTTGGCTCATTAACAAGTCTGAGCTTATGATACTATGGCTCCTTTAATTATTGGCAAATAAGGAGGGGGAGTAAAGCCATATATAAAAAAGAAATAATTAGGAGTTTACTACTGACACTATGACCCTGCTAACTTCAAGGGTAGGTAGGA